CTGGGCTTGTCTGTGGCTGGCCCTCTGTATTGGGGAGACTGTTCAGGAGGTCAAGTTCCTGTGCCTTTCTGACCTGTTAGCTCTCTTCTGTGTCCTAGTCCTACCTCATTCCTCCCTCTGGCCCTCAGTGACGGTCACCTTGGTCATGAGCATGACTAGGAATGTGTATGTGTGTTGAGGGCCAGCTGACCCTCCAAGGCTCGTCAGATGTGATCCCTCCGCCATATTAGCGGTCCTTGTTGCTTGTAGCACCTTGGATAGTAATTGTCTCCTTATTTGCAAGTCTCTCCATTGATGAACCATTTCTTGAAGACTTGGTCTCTTTTGTTTTTGTATTTTTAAAGCTTCGTATGCAGTATGTGCTCATTAAGTGTTGACTGAAGCACTTGCTTGTGAAGGTCATGGGTTGGTTCTTCCTTCTTCCTTTTGCTGTGAGCAGGTGGCGCTTTGCTGAGTTTCAGTACCTGCAGCCGGGCCCACCGAGGCGGCTCCAGACTGTGGTGGTGTACCTGCCAGACGTCTGGACCATCATGCCTACTTTGGAAGAGTGGGAGGCCCTGTGCCAGCAGAAAGCTGCAGAGGCAGCTCCCCCACCCCAAGAGGTGTCCGTGGTAAGACTGAGCCTTACAAATAAGGGGGCAGAGTAGATGCCCTGACCCCTGGGCCCAGGTGGTCACCGCTCTTGGCTTTTGTCACAGGAAGCAGAGCCAACGGAACAGGCAGCTGATGTATCAGAGCAAGCAGCAGACGCCTCTAAACAGAATGCAGAGAACCCAGAGGCCACCGCACAGCAGGAAGTGGACACCGATCTCCCAGAGGCCCCTCCACCCCCTCTAGAACCTGCTGTCATGGCACGCCCTGGCTGTGTAAACCTGTCCCTCCACAGTATTGTGGAGGACCGGAGGCCAAAAGAAAGGATCTCTTTTGAAGTAAGTGTAGGAGTCTGGGGGGGGGGCTGTGCAGTAGGGTATCTGGGACGGCAGGGCTTGAACATTCCCCTTTTCCTGATGCTTGTGGACCTCTGCTGACTCTCCTACCAGGTGATGGTGTTGGCTGAACTGTTTCTGGAGATGCTGCAGAGGGATTTTGGCTATAGGATTTATAAGATGCTGCTGAGCCTTCCTGAAAAGGTTGTGGCCCCACCTGAACCTGAGAAAGAGGAGGCAGCTAAGGAAGAAGAAGCAGTCAAGGAAGAGGCTGCCAAGGAGTCCAAGGATGAGGTACAGAGTGAGGGCACAGCTGCCGAATCAGACGCCCCACCGGTGAGTACCTCTGCTGCCCTGCACGGGCACTGGGGCTGCACACAGTAGTGCTGCGCCATACCAGGCGCTGCTGGGGGGCCTCACGGGGCTCCTCTCACCGCTCCTCTCGCTGCCCGTGTGTGCCTTGCCACCTGGCACGTTCTCGGCAGCAGGGCACCTCGCTCTCCCACCTGGCTGTGCAGCTAGGAGGTGGTGTGCTGAGGAGAGGGGAGGCGGGCCTGGCGGCGTGGTTGACCTGCCAGGGTGGCACAGAAGCCTCGGTTACTAATGCTGTGGGGAGGACGGGTGTTTGGGCTGCTTGATGGTTAACTAGAGCGCTGCATCTTCTTAGCCCTTTCTAAAGCACATAGGTCTGTTTCTTGCCTGATGCCATCAAGTACACATATAATTTCTTACGGGACCGTGACTGACTCCCAAAGAAAACTCCGGGTACCCTGGAGCCGCCCTGGTGTGCTCTGAACCCCACGTAATGAAGTGCAGTAAATGGGAGCGTGTGTACAAACCCCTTACCACGGTGCCTGAACACGGTTGATGCTCAACTGTTGGCTGTTCTAATTGTTAGCAGTTAGAGATGACCGTTCTCGTCCGGGTCTGTTTCTAGAAGGAGGATGGGCTTTTGCCCAAACCTCCATCTTCTGGGGGAGAGGAAGAAGAGAAACCCCGGGGTGAGGCATCTGAGGACCTCTGTGAGATGGCGCTTGATCCGGAACTACTGCTCCTGAGGGACGACGGAGAGGAGGAGTTCGGTACGTGCAGGCACCACACAGTGGCCTCCTGGCTCTGTGGCTGGACTGCTCTCCTGTTACGGCTGTGGGATTTGGGCCCGTGTGGTCCCTGCTCCAAGCTTATCTCAGGCTTTCTGCAGCAGGAGCCAAGCTGGAGGATTCTGAGGTCCGGTCGGTTGCCTCAAACCAATCGGAGATGGAGTTCTCTTCTCTTCAGGACATGGTGAGACCTCTCCTCCATCCCCCAAGAGTCCGTGAGGCTTATTAGCGAGGTCTCTGACTCATTCCTGGGAGAGGGAAACTTTTACCATTTGATTCCGGTTGACAAAAACCAGAATGTGGTTCTTGGCTCATGGAGTGGGGTGTTCATAGGATCGAGGGCACTTCAGTATCTCCATCTGGGTGAACCTGAGTGAGGTAGTATCTGATCTAGGAGCGCACTCACTTCCTCTGTGTGTAAAAGTGGCCTGGGGGCCTGTCTCCAGGCGGAAGGGTGCCCCGGTGTCATTAGGTCAGCTACGTCCTAGGCGCTTTAGCCACTGAAAGAACTCTTTGTAAATCTTGTCCATCCTCGTTTCTCTTGCAGCCCAAGGAGCTGGACCCCTCTGCCGTGCTCCCTTTGGACTGTCTCCTTGCTTTTGTCTTCTTTGACGCCAACTGGTGTGGCTACTTGCACCGGCGGGACTTGGAGAGGATCCTGCTTACCCTTGGGCTCCGGCTCAGTGCAGAGCAGGTGCCTTCTCTCACATCCTCTCCGCCCTTTCCAAGACGGCCTCCCCTAACGTTACATGCAGACACTGGACTCCTGTGGGTGGCTCAGAGAGCTCTAGTTCTAGGCGCTTGCATACCATGGGGGCAAGGGCTCGCGTCTTCTCATCAGCGGGTGTCTGGGGCATATGTCTTCTGCAGGCCAAACAGCTGGTCAGCAGGGTGGTGACCCAGAACATTTGCCAGTACCGGAGCCTTCAGTACAGCCGCCAGGAGGGCACAGACGGTGGGCTTCCTGAGGAGGTGCTCTTTGGTGCGTCCTGGTGCCTGTAGCCTTCTGTGGAGGATGGGCAGGGCACGCTGCTTTCTCCTGAGAACACTTCCTTCTATCTCTTTCTCGGCCCCTTCTAGGAAACCTGGATCTGCTACCTCCTTCTGGGAAAAGTGCAAAGCCGGGCGCCGCCCCCACGGAACACAAAGGCCTGGTGTCCCACAACGGCAGCCTGATCAATGTGGGGAACCTGTTGCAGCGCGCGGAGCAGCAGGACAGTGGACGGCTCTACCTGGAGAACAAGATTCACACACTGGAACTGAAGCTGGGTGAGTGGCCCGAAGCCGCAGGGACCCGGCACGCATAGGACGTGCAGCCGTGGGTGTGGAGATTAAGAGGGGTCCCTCCTTACGCTTCGGGCCTGTTGCCCTGTGCGGCAGTGCTTAGCTTAGCAGCGGTCTTTCTGCTGTTCCCCCCCAGAGGAGAGCCATAACCGCTTCTCAGCCACTGAAGTAACCAACAAGACACTGGCGGCGGAAATGCAGGAGCTGCGGAGCCGGCTGGCCGAGGCCGAGGAGACGGCGCGGACGGCCGAGCGGCAGAAGAACCAGCTGCAGCGACTGCTCCAGGAGTTCCGGAGGCGCCTGACCCCCCTGCAGCTGGAGATGCAGCGGATGGTGGAAAAGGTGAGCCTCTAAGGGCAGAGCTGGCCGACGGTCATTCGTCATTTGGGAGGCTTGGTTGGGGTGACAGGTGACAGCCAGCCAGCACGTCGGTCCTCCTGCCCTTGCGGGGCTTTGCCTCGCCTCGCCTTCTCCACCTACTGGTTTCTTGGGGTATCGGTTGGTAGCAGCTGCAGCCTGGTCTCCCGGGAGGAAGTGCTGCTGTCCTCCCATCTTGGCCCTCTCTCTTGAGTCCTGAGTCCTGATTCTCATTCTAGGCGGACAGCTGGGTAGAGAAGGAGGAGCCGGCACCTAACAACTGAGGGGCCTGGTGCAGGAGCTGTCCTCCCGTGAGGTCAGCGATGGAGCCTGCTGACGTTCGAGCCCTTTTGGTTCCAGAAAGAAGCTGGAGCAGGACCTGGGAGCCACAGGCAGGGGTGGCTGACCCCTATGCTCAGCCTCCGTAGAGGAGCTCAGGCCATCAGGGTGGGGTCTGTGCTATGTGGGACGGATGCGTGAGGAACCCCGGTTCCACTTAACAACTAAATCCAACACCTTCTGCACCCCTCGAATGTCATTTTGCCCTCCACCTTGGGATTTTTCCTGGGGCCCTTTAGTCTTGTGCTGACTTTTCTCCTGTCCTCTTCCAGTTTAGACTAAGACAGGGGAGGAAAAGGCTTTTGAGTATGTCATAAGGTCTGATGCCAATAAACTGAGGAAACAGACGTGGACTCTGGCAGGGGGTAAGAGCCCTTCCTCTGGATGGCACAAGTCCTGCCAGGTACAGGAGCAGGTTCCTAGGGGAAGGGTCTTCCTTGGCCATCGCAGAAATGGAGTCTGTGCTGGCGAACTCTTGGTGTCGGGCTGTGTCTGCCAGAGAGCACTGTGCTCCAGCCACCCTGGACTTGCCAGAAGAAACCAGCACCTCCCCGTGTTCAGAATGTGGTATTGGCTCTGGCCCAGCCTTTTTCCCTGTTCCCCAGAAGTCTCGCCTCTTTCCATAATCCGTGGTTTCAGTTTGACTTTGTATATAAAGTTGGTTTTTTTTTTTTTTTTTTGGCTTTTTGTTTTTTAAATAAACCAAAGTCAAAAACAAGCTAAGTGTCCTCCATAGCTCTTACCTTCTTCCTCTTCTAGGTCTCCCTGTGCTGCCCCCTTCCTTCCAGTCCTCAGCCTAGCCTCTGCTGGATGGAGGGTGCAGCATCTCCAGAAGGTGGGGCCGGGTGGCAGGAAGACTAGCCCCAGGGTGCTCTGCGTCCTGCCCCCTGCTGGTCAAGAGACACTATGCCACAGGGGTGCTGTCAGCTCAGCAGAGGGCAGCACCACCCTGACACAAACCTGGGGTGGCTCTCTTTCTTCAGTTACAGCACAGTAACGGCTGGCAATTTTATTGAAAACTTTACTTGAAAAAATAAAATTTCCAAATATTCAGGTGAGACAAACCCACTGTTACTGCTTTGAGGCCTGTGAATCAGGCTGTGACATTTTGTGTGGCTGACAGCCTATTTACATGAGCTGAGTCTGGTTTCCTAGGGAACCTACAAGGCTTGGGGTTCTTCTCTGCACTTGACCTAAGGGATAGAAGTGGGTGAAACCAGGTTTTATCATGCTGGGAGTCTGGGCTAGAGGAGAGGCAGTGTCTTGGGCCTCTCCCAGAAAAGAAGAGTCTGAAGGGGAACGGCAACGAGGGTGGGTGGACTCCCAAGGATGGGTCTTTCTTTGGAGGTAGGTGAGATCACGACCGTGCAGGCAAGGCTAAGACCTCAGGTGAGCGGACAGAGCCTGTGCCTTTGAAGGCTAGAAGCTTGCTCAGGTCCTAGGCCAGGCTGCCCTTTGGACGGTTCTTTTGGAAACAAAGCCCTTGGAGTGTTTCTGTGCTGCTTACCTGTCTGGGTTCTTGCTATGGGTGGGGAGGCAGCACCCTGCCTGGGGCTCCTGGTGCCAGGCTCACTGCAGAGGTCTCGTGAGGTAGAACAGGGGCCGCTGCTGTCCCCATACTTCTCTCGGGGGAGAGCCTTTTGCTGGCTGTCGCCTGAGCCTAAGCTTAACAAGGGCTAAGACCAGAAAGGTTGACTTGTATCCCAGGAGTCTGAAACGGTGGCGGGGACTCAGTCATCAGCCACAATGGAGAGGGCTCTGAGCTCACTCAGTCTGGCCTCATTCTCCCTCTCCCGCTGCTCATCAGTGTGGCCAGGCTGGTCGAGCTGCTGGGTCAGGTCTCCGAAGATCTTCTGCATTTCAGAGTAGTACCCAACCTGGAGGCAGGGATGGAGAAGGAGGTTGGCAGGTGCTGGGCTCCTGGGGTACAAAGCCCCCTCAGCATTGCACCCCCTGGGTGCGTCCCAGAGGCCCACATGCTGCTTGTTCTCTTAAGCAGAGCGCTCAGGCTGGGTGGAGGGGGCTGGCTTCCACTCTTCCCTCCATCACTGCCCTTCCTCTCAGCCCATCTCCTGAAACTGCAGGGCAAGTAGGGAAACTGAAGCCACAGACCCCAGCCCTTCAGGAACGTCCACTGCTGCTGCCAGGATGGCAGAGGAGGGGGGGCAAGGGGGCCTTGGTGAGATGGATGGAGGCGGGGGTTCTGACTTTGGAGCCCTCCAGGCAGCTGAGGGGCGTTGGGGCCTGTGCCGAGAGATATAGGACAGTGCAGCCTGAGGCTGGCTGAGGGCACTGGCAGGACCCTCCTCGAGTCCTGGGGAAGCCAGGGAGTCAGGCACTGACCCGAGGTGCTTCAAGAAGCTAGACCTTTGTCCATGGGGAAGGGGCGTGGCTGGACCCCAGAACCCTGAGAGTCTTAGAGGTAAGGGTGAGAAAGGTGACCCCCCCCCCCCCGCCGCGTGTTCCTTCCCAACCTGTCCCATTAATCACGCTTCGGCTGTTTGGCTGGAAAGCAGGGTTCGCAGACCAGCTTGTTTCCGTGTCCCTATGTGTGTAGGCACCGGGGCTGATGGGAGAGGCCTGTGGCAGTGGGGTGGGGGTGTGCTGAGGACAGGGGAGACCCCTCAGCAACTCTCCGATGGCTGAGGGCTGCTCAGACCAGGGGCCACTGCCTCGTCTCCACCTCCATGACCAAAGGCAAACACTTCCGTGAAAGTGATCCACACTATTCAAAACTCTATTCAGACACTGCTTCCACTCTAGACAGTGGAGTGCTGTCACTGGGAAGGCCAGGCCGAGTGGCAGGTTTGGTGGCAGGGCCGTGGCTCAGCTGCTTCTGAGGAGGGGTCTCTCATACCCCCACAGCTAGATTTCCACTGGGCTGAGGGGAGCTAAATGAGGGTCTCCAAATGCTGCTGTCCCCTGAGGGGACGGGGTGTAGACCAGGGCCGGGAGAGGGCAGGGGATGGCCTGCCCTACCCCCACTCCCCGCCCCAGAGCCGCACTGCGCAGGCTGAGTCACTAGGAATGCTCACTTCTCCAGTGACTAATGGCAGCGACAGCCTCGGGAGGGGGAGGCTGGTGCTGAGGAGGCAGTGAACAGTCCCTATCCACCCCGCTGCCCGGTTACGGGTCATCCCTAGCCCCTAACCTCAGGTCTGGGCACCCTGGAGCTTCCTCCAGTGAGCAACAGAATGGAGGGGGCAGGGTAGCATGCAGGGGGCCGGGAGCAGGGGTGGTGGTGGCACAGGGAGGGAAAGCACAGGTCTCCTTAAACACATTCCTCCACAGCCTAGGCTGAGCCTCTGGAAGGAAGTCCTCGTCTCCTGGAGAATGCTCTGGAGGCAGGCGTGGAAACTCACCCCCCCCCCCCCCGCCCCCCTTCACTTGTGCATGTTGGTGCTCTGCCTCATTTCTCCCTAGCGGCCAAAAACATGGTCACTAAGTTCCAGCTCCAACATCAACCCTGCTCGGGGTTCTGAGCACAGGCGTGCAGCTCCATGGGTTTTGGTGTTCTCCAAAGGCTGATAGGCTGGGCAGGTAAGGATCGGGCTTTTCCTTGGGTGCCCTGAGGCCTTTGAGCTTCGTCACCTTGTTGACTGCAAGGAGTGAGTGTGTCCACTAGAGGGCGCCAGACACCCAGGCCAAGCACCGAAGTGGGCAGGAGGGGGCCGAGTCTTTAGCTTTGTCACCGGCTGGGGAACGGTGGGAAAGGTGGCAGGATGCTGAGTGCCTGCAGGAGGCTGATGCGGGGGCCCCACATGGCAGAGACCTCTTGGTTTGGCACCTTAACCTCCTCTCTTTTACAATGGGGAGAACAATCCCTGCGAACGGTTTGAAGAATGGCCGGGGCTGGGGGGCGGAGGGGGGGGGGTTGCTACGCAGGAGCTACATGCAGCTGGACATTGTGTCCTCAAACCCTCGAGTGGTGGGAGGCCTTAGCCTGCTTCCCACCCTCCAGCTGCCCGGCCCCGGTGCTACCCCGGGCACCTCCATGCACACCTGGCCAGAGGCCGGCCTGCCTTTCCACTGGAAGGTGCCCTGTGGCCTGGCACCCAGGCAGAGGCCTTGAGCATGGCCCTCCCCAGGATGTAGGGAACCCTCCAAGGGTTGCTAGGAGTCAAAAGAGCCTGTGGTCTCCTGCCTAGCGAGGAGGAGCAACTAGAGTGGGGAAGCAGGGGTGTGGGCCTTTGCCCTGCAGGCCTCTGTGCCGGACCTGAGCACACCAGGCAAGAAGAACCTGCCCGTCAAAGTGAGGTGTTGACAGAGTGGCTCTCTTCTTGCCACTGGTGGTACAATGAGAGGAGAGAGAGAACTTGAGGGAAAAGCCATTCAACAAGAAGGGGTCTCATCCTGGGACTGGGATTCACCAAACAGCAACGGAGGAGCCCAGGCGGTAAGTCCAGCAAATGCTCAGAGTCAGACGCAGATGCGGTGCCGGGGGCAGGGTGGCGGCACTGCTGACTTGGCGGAGAACGGCTAAGCCACCCTCCCAGTTGGGAAGCGGGGACGGGCGCGAGGGTGTCTACAAAGCCCAGGACCATCTCCCAGGGGAGCAAGCATTCGCCGTCCGTTGGGGCAGGGTGGGGAGCCGCCTCACCTGCGCTCGGATCAGGGACTCAAAGCTGGGCTGGAAGTAGTCCAGGCGGCTGTTGTAGAACCGCGGCATCTCATCCAGGAGCTGCTTGTTCTTGGCCTCAAAGTCGTCCCTCACAGGCCGAAGCTCTTCTCGGGCCTGAGGGACAAGACACTGGGTGTCATAGCTCTTGGTAGCTTATCCAGAGTGTATGCTGGGGGCACGATGTGTACGTTGGGGGCGGGGGTGGGGTGGGGATCACATCTGGTGTCTTGGTCTCCTAGCCCCCAAAGCTGGTCCCCAGGTGAAGGAGGAACTTGCCACACATCACCCACGGGGCCCGTTGTCCACACCCACCTCTCCCTTCTTGGTACCTGGTGGAGTTTGGCCAGCACTGGCCCCGTCTTCTCCTTCTCCTCGTACTTCTCCACCTTGGCCTGCAATCTTCTGTAGTCCTGCAAGGCCTGCTCCCGCCGCTTCACCGCCATGTTGAGGCTCGGGAAGACACTGCTAAACCTGCCGCACAGTCGGATACAGGCTGTTCTTGGAGCCGCAGCCCAGCAGCTCGGCGTCCATTCAAAAATACATACTGAGTGCCTACTAAGTGCCAGACCCTGTTCTAGGTCTTGGGGATTTCACGTGGGTAAGACAGATGAGGCCGTGGCCCCTGGGGAGCACCCACTGCTGAGAATGCCGTCTGGGGTAAGGCCACAGGAGAGAAGTAGGACTAAGGGTCACTCTACTGATCAGAGTGAGCCACAGGGGCAGGAATGCAAGGAAGCCACTGGCATGGCCACTGCCCCTTCCCCACCCATCTCATATGACCCCGCACATGACAGAGACCTGTCACAGAGCATGGGAGAGCTGAAGACTCTTGGGAATAATCTGTCCAACATCTTCCTTTAACACAATCAATGAAATTGAGGCCAGAGAGATGACATGACTTGTCCAGGGTCACAACCAGGATAGTGACTGTCCAGCCAAGAGCTCAAGCATCCCACTTCTCTGGCACCTCCCTGCCACCTCATGGTGTCACTAGCAGTGACAACTGCAGTCAAAACCTAGTCTTGGCCTATTTCTATCAGCTGACCGTGAGAAAAGCAGGAACCCTCGGGTTCTGCCACTGAAATGGCTGAACCGTTGAACCAGATGTTTGAGGAAAATGACTCAAGGACATCTTGTTGCCCCACCGGGACTAAAAAGGACCACAGGGAAATGCTGAGGAGTGGGCCACTCACAAAGAGTGGCAGCGGACACTTTTGGCCCCTGTGGGCATCATCTTTGTGATGACTATCATCTTTGACTGGGAAGAGCAATGAGGTCTTGAGACAGACACCGGGCAGGACTGCATCCCAGGCAGAGACGCTGTGTTTCCCTTGATTGGAGTGTCGGAGAAGGCAAGGCAAGCCTGCAAGCAGGTTTTCTGGAACTGGGCGGGAAGAGATGGGGGAGCTGCCTGGCGAGCAAAGCCTGCAGGGCAGGAGGCGGCAGGAGGCATCTACCCTGCAGGTCGGGCCCCGCAACTGAGGAAAATGGTGGCACAGTGGTTATTCGGGGTTGAGAGGCACAGAGGGGGCACTCGGGGCCAGAAGACTGGGTTTCTCTAGGAGCGGCCGGGACAACATGCTGTGGGGACCTCCCCTTCCACAATGCTGGGGCCAGAGGTGCCTGTCAGCTCCAGGGCCATCTTTAGGCAGTTCACATGCCGCAGGAAGAACAATTTTCCAAGTCTGCCTCTCAAAGAAGCATGATCATGAATTTGGTTTTTAAAAGCCCCAACAAATCACGAGTGCCCGTGACATAAGAGTAATGAAGATTTTTGCCAGAGAACAGAGAACATAAATTTGACCAAAGCACTGAATTCCCCAGCCAAGGCTATAGATACAGGCAGTAGGTTCTGGTCAAACAAAAGCCTTATCCCCAAGAAAGGACACTAAAATGAGTCCTTCTAACTGACTGGGTGACCTAATGGGCTCACTACCTAACTGGAAAGGCTAGAAGTGGGTAAGACATGCCCTTAGACAAATCAGTCATCAAATCGATACTTGAATGACTGATCTGCCAGCAGAGGAGCCTCCTTGCTGCTGTGTGAACTGGGTGTGGGGAGCAGTACCTTCAGGACAAAGGTCCCCTATCCTGGGTAGGTCTGAACAGATAAGACCATGGGCAGGGACCAGCCTCACTGTTTGTGCCTCAGGCGGCAGCTCTGAGGGGGTCTCAGTTGCTAGGCAAGCCCCTCTCCCCGCCTGGGAGGAGTGTGACCAGCAGCTGAGAGGCCTGTGACTCAAGGAAGCAGGTGCAACGGAGCCTGAGAAACCACCACCACCACCACCACCCTCTTGACCCCAACCAGACTAGAGGCCACCAGTGGCCACCCTCATTCTCTCATTAGAAGTGGCCTGCTTAGGTGGCCCCAGTGCCTGGGCCTCTGCTGTCCATGCTGCTGGCGGCCTGGGAGGAGTGGGCACGGACAGGACAAGAATGGGGCAGGAAGCAACAGGTGGAGGGTTTCCTCCTATTAGGAAAGAGGGCAGCACCAGGGATGCATTCTGCGGGTGCCAGGTGGGACGACCACCATGCTGGTGGCTGAGCAGTTCCGGATGCCCTCTGACCCCAGAGCACTCGTCTCTTTGCTCGCCCTCAGTTGTCACCTGGGGTTGATTCCCAGGGCTGGGATCAAAGGCACAGAAACGACAACTAAATGCCATTGCAGGGGTTGGGTTCAGGCCTCCCCTTCCACAGATGGGGAAACAGATTTGGAGGAGCAGGGCGCTGGCCAGGGTCATGGGCTGGCTGGGGGCCAGCTGGGACTGCCCGCCCAGCACTTTCCCCACTCCGCTGCAAAGCGCCCCCTCGGCATTTATGGACCATCCTGGTCTTTCTTCCTGAGAGCGCCATCATGGCTTCAACACTGGGTCACAAGCTCCTAAGATCTGTGTTGTGTCCGCCCTCCAGAGAAAGCAGAACAGGGCTGGGCCTACACCACACCCTCGCTGAAGCTCTGCCCAGGTGACTGTCCTAAGGTTCAACCAAACTGCCTCCCCTGGGTAAGCAGTGGGGTGAGGAGGCAGTGAGAGGGAGGAGGGAAAGGGGGAGGGAGAAAGAGGCCGGCTGGGAGGTAGGCTGGGAGCAGCCGGCCCTGGTGGGGAATGCCTGCCATTCCTCAATCTGTGCCCACACAGCCGGGATCTTCCACCCACCAGGAAAGGGAAATTGAAAGCATCCCCATCCGACCATGTGAACACAGCCCAGAGACTGGGGGGATTAGAGGCCGAGCCCCCTGGGGGGAGGCTGGGGGCGGCAGGGTGGCCATGTGGTGATGTTCTTCATCAGAGGACAGGAAAGCTGCAGTTTCCTGTTTCCGGTACTGGGGTCCCTGGGAGCTTCTCTCCTGGCAAGAGGCGGCAACAGGCAGTGCCGGTTTTATGTGGTTGGGGGAGATCGCATGTCGGCTACGGGATGGAGAAGCCGGCCGGGTAGGCAAGCAGGCCTGGGGGGGCTCAGGCAGAGGTCAGCGGATCTGCTGCGGAGATGGTGCCCGCCTCCTGTGCCACTCACCCACCTTCCTGGCAGGTGGTGGGCTGCTGGGGCGGTGGGAAGCAGCCGGGATTTCTCTCCATTTGGCTCTAGAAGCCAGGCATCAGATTTCAAGGCCGCCTCCTTGGTTGTGAAATCGAGGTTGGAGTCAGTCCCCTAGCTCTCTGAGCTGGTGTCCCCTGCCTAGCTCTGCCAGCCATGGGTGTCTCTGTGGCAGCTCCTGGAACGCCAGGGGCAGGGTCTGCTCTGCCCGTGGTCCTTCCCACCCAACTGCGAACGCTCGGTCCTGTGGACCCGGTCAGAAAGCCACCAGCCACGGAGCCCCTGCTGCCACCTCCCTCCTGAGCCACCAGCCTCCTCGGCACCCAGTTCCTTGTGTGGCCCTGCAACCTGGGCCCGAGCAGGGGGTAGGGGAAGGGGCCCAGGGAAGGAGGGTGGGCCGAGCCTCCAGACAGCCTGGCTCAGAAAGAGCTTTCCCTAACCCCACCCCTTGGACCCGAACAGGGAGTGAAGAGCTCAGTAACCTCAAAGCCAGGGGCTAGAGGACCAAAACCTGCTCTCTTCATCTCCCTCCGGGCCCCGATCCAGGCCTAATGGTAATTAGCAGAGCCTCATTACCCAGGCCTGGTGAGGCAGCTGCCAGGGACCACCACAGAAGAGGTAATAAAGTGCAGCTGCCGGGCTGGAGCGGGAGCCTTTCTAGGTCAGAGTCAGTTTGGGAGAGGCTAGGGGGGCAGATGAAGTGATGTGGAGCTTCAAGGCAATGCTCCTGCCTGTCCCCGCCCCCCGCCAGCCCACCACCTCAGGGGACTGGGGGATAGGCCTGTCTGATGGCTGCCCAGAGCCTGCCTGAGAGAAGATGAGCCTCGCAGAAGAATTTCTGACCCTGTCGGGTCACGAGTTTGGGGACCTTCCCAGGCAGGACCCTGCTGCTGCGCCCTTCCCCATGTGCAGCCACCCCCACATCTCCGAAGCCGGGCGCCGCAGGCAGCTGCTCTCCCGGTGCGGCGGGGAGATGAAAGGCCTTGCTCATCCCCGCTGAGGGCTGGCCAAGCGCTCTGCTCGCTTCATTCAGCAAGCTCTGGGACCTCTGGCTCTCAGCGGGAACAGAGGGAAAGATGGCAAAGTGACCACTGACTAGAGGCTGTCTGCTGGGGCAGACCGCAAGTCACTGAGTGCACTGGGCAGGGCGGGTGCTCTGGGGCCACAGATCACATCGCCAGCGTCCCTGTTGAGTTTCCGGTCAGCTCCCTGGGAGTCTGGGGTTCTAGGCTGCTGGAAATGATATTCGGTCCCCAGTCGGCCAGTTGACCTGCCTTTCCAATAAGCGCCCCCAGCCTAGTTCCCTCAGGCCTGCGGTCCCCAGATGACCACTACTCACTTTTTTAAGGGTTCAATCACGGTCTTTTGGATCTGGTTCACCTGTTGAAAGAAAGACCCAATGAATCAAGACCAAGGGGAAGTCAGACTCTTCCTAAAAGGGGAGGATCTACGTTCCTGAGAAAGGGGACAGTCAGGGCTGTCCTGAGAGCCCTGGGTGGGGACGAGATGGGGCCGGGGCACCCCTGACTCCGCAGCTGGAGCCAGGCGGAGAGGACGACGATGGCCAGGACGTCGAGGGCAGCAGGGAGTACTGTTCTTGTTCCAGGTCTGTTCTCCTCCCGCCAGCACCGTCTGCAGGCTGCTGACAGCCGTGCTCAGGGGGCAGGCTGGGTGGGCAGCTGCAGAATGTGTGAGGGGCTCCGGGTGAGCAGAGCTGCCCTGCCTCCCTCGGGGTCTCACAGTGAGCGATACGAGCTCGTGGGAGTCACGGGCAGCACAGGGTGCCGAAGCAGGTCCAGGAACGAGCTCACGGGACTCGTGACACACGGGTGTCAGAGCACTGAGGGCGTCGGAAGACCGAGCCCTGGGAGGACTCTGCACGGGCGCTCCACCCAGGCAGAAGCCACGGGAAGGGGGAGAGCAAGACCCCAGCTACCTTCTCCTGGTTGAAGGCGTCCATCCGCTTCATGGCTGTGTCCAGGGCTGTCACCATGTTCAGGAAGTCCTGGTCTTGCTCGCAGAGGGGATTGGAGAGCAAGTCCAAGGATATCTTCACAGCAGATTTGGATAAGGCTGTAAGAAGTCAAAGCTCGGTGAACCTATGAAGGGACAGGCTTCAAGGTCTTGTCCTTAGGACGCTGTCCTTCCTCAGTCCAGCGGCCATACCCTGACCGCCACCCCGGCCACAGGCCAGAAAAGCTACAGAGTACCACAAGCTGAAAGTCACCGGTCCTTATTGGATGGTGTTCGCTCCTGACCATCTGAGGCTGCTCTGGGTAGTTCTTCGGAGCACCTTTACCTTTGGCAATGACTTCATTTTCTGTTAAAACTCTGGGTTTTAACAGAATCCTTTGGGCGGGAAGCTGTAAAAAATACCTATTTTCTAGCTCTAAAGAGTCTATCTCAGTAAGTCTGTAATCCAGAAACATGTATCTTAAAGAAACTCTCCAGGTGGTTTGGGCATGAAGCTTGGTTTGGGACCCTCTCACGGACGAGAGTAAGAGTGTGCCCCACGAGGGCTGGCAAACATACCATAAAGGCTAGAAATCAAGATGGCAGGCTGTGTGGGCTGCATGGTTTCTGCTGCAACTACTCAACTCTGCCACAGACAGTACCTAAAGAATGGGTGTGGCTTTGTTCCAATGCCCCTTTATTGACAAAATGAGGCCAGATTTGGTGTGGCTAGGCAACCCCTGGTTTCAATGGCATACACTCAGAAACTTGTTTTCCCCTGAGCCTCTGGAGCTGGTACAGACCCTACCGAGCAAGCACGGCCCCTTCCCAGTCTCTTCCTGCCCCTGTAGACTTTTGTTTGCACGTAATGGAGACTGAAAGACTTGTACTTTAGACCAAAAACTCCAAAGCTGCTGACAGGTTTCCATCCTGCCTCTGCAGGGTTCCCGTGCCCCCACTGTTTTATCCAGGGCTCATACAACGCAGGAGACATTTCAGGTAGTGTATTTTGGCCCTGTTTTACAGATGACGAGGGTGAGGCTCCAAAGAGGTTATAACTCCCTCAAGGTCAAACAGCTCCAAGTGCCGAGCCAGGACTAGACCCTGGGCACCCGCCTCGCCGCCCACTCCTCTCCTGGTGACCCGCCTGGAGACAGCTGTGGGCAGGCCCCACAAGGCTCTGCTGCGGTATCTGCTTATGTTGTTAAAGGTCTTCTCTGGTACCATTTCCCCACAGATGGAGGCCACTGCCCTGCTGTAGCCTTGTTCACATGTTTCTACACCATGTTTGACAGAGGATATGGGGACACGGGGAGCCTGGAAATCAGAGGGCAGCTCCAAGGCAGGATGGAGATCTATTGGCAGCTTTGGGGTTCTCAGTCCAAGTTTTCGGGTCTCCATTATTTGCAAACAAACAAAAAAATTCTAGAGGGGCAGGCAGAGAGACTGGTGAAGGGGCATGCTTGCTCCATAGTGTCTGTACCAGTTTGAGGGTTTCAGGAGAAAAGTTTTTGAATGTATTCCTCACTACTTTATGCCACTGAATTTAAGATGGTAACACACCATTAATGTATAGCCATTGAGAAAGAAAAACTATGCTGCGAATTATGTTACGGTGTGTTGATTTCTGAGATGTTAAAAGTGAAACAATGTCTTTGAATCAATGAAATGAGGTCCACTCCAGTTAACCAGAGATGTGCCCCTGCCTTGCCATATGAGGAGCGCGTTGGCCCCACGCGCCTACTCCTTGGCCCCAAGGGCCTACTTCTCTGTTTCCGGTGGGAGAAACGGAAGCCTAGCGGGTCCCTCTCCACTCAGGCTCCTCCATATGCCAGCAGAGAAGCCCACAGTGGATGACTGGCTCACGCAGCGCCCTGTCCTGGGCCTCCCTCTAATCTGGTAGCCTGCTGCAGTCACCCAGCAAACAGGCACAGTATGGGAGAAGCCTGGAAATATATACTTCCCAGAAATGTTGAGGCAGTGGAGCTAAGAACCCTCTTTCAAATCTGTGCAGTGACTTTGTAGGCTTAGGAGCAAACATCATGTGTAACTGGACTGGATCATGAAATGGTCACACACAGTATAATTAAAGGATAGAAACTTGGGACAAAACTGGAAACGTTTTTGAAAAATTTCTTCCACTACTTTTTAATGCTTGAGGAAAAAAATCCTGAAAAGGTAGGGCAGGGGAGACTTCCTTCCCAATTTTCCTTTTCTTTCCTAAAGCCTCACACTTCAGGCCTCTGCCTCTGTCTTTGTTCGAACCATCTGAAGTCAATTAACAGTGTGGAATCCCACTGGGAGTCCTCACTGGCCTATGTGAGTGAGTGAGTGCCGCAGGGCAGGGCCATAGAGCCTCCACTCTCAGGGACTGGGAGGGTGTGGCCAGCCCAGCACCAATTGGGAGGCTGGTGGTCTTTGAACCTTAAAGAGAATGCGGGTCTCCAATGCCACATGGGTCTCTGGAACCCTGATGCCACCTCAAAATATAAGGGTTGACAAAGACCTAACAGGGACTGGCGGTGCACAGATGATCTTGTTTGGGAACACAGAATGGGATTTTAGATATTGTCCAGGCAGTTGATTTCCCTCAATTGTCTGGGGCAGTGGTTCTCAAAATGGGGTCCCCGGGCCAGCTGCCTCAGCACTGCCTGGGGGTGGACTGGACAATCTGCCTCTTGGCGGGCCTTCCGGTGACCCTGATGCACTGACTGTGACTGCTTCAGGAGGGCTTTCTCTGCCCAGATTCTAGTTCTCACTGGGGGCGGACGAGGCCAGGAACCCTGGGCCCCAGGGGTCCCCCATTTATTTTGATTTCTTGTGGGGAAAACCATGCTCTCCACTTCATGGATCCCTGACTTTCCACAGCTTCCAAAGCTGCCCACTCTGAAAACGCAACCTTCCCTTCATCTGTGCTCTGACAGTGCAGTCTATCTGGAGAAGTACCAAAGAAAGGAAGCAATAGGTCACAGCTTCTCCTGTACTGGAAAGGCAGTGGCGAACGATAAATATGCCACCCAGGGAACCTGGAACTATGCACAAAACAAATAACAGATGGGCTCCGTAATCGGACCCTTGGCTCGCTGCACACGTAGTCTGGAGATGCCAGGGACAGTCGTGTTCAGACCCACCCATGTCCTCTGGATGAGCGGTGACATGAGCATCTGTGCACAGACCACAGGAGCCAGCCCTGACGTGACGGAGGGGCAGAGGTCCACCCGTGGCCCAGCCAGGCCCGGCCCAGCTCTGGACTATGCCACCTACCCAGATCAGCATCGGTGCCCTTCTTCATGTCCTTCTGCAGCCTCCTGGTCTGCTCCTCCAGCCTGCAAGGCAGGGGCACAGGCTTAGGCACCTGGCATCATCAGCTTGCTTCAGCCCCCTTCCTTCCCATCTACCTGAGTGAAGCCCAGCCTGATGCCCTGGAAGGCCTGCCAGGAGAGGGGGCCCCTGCTCCATGGGGAGTTTTCCCACCGACTGAAGGGCTGCTACCGGCTCTGCATGAGGCCAAGCACCCAAAGGCTATGAGTTAACGACTGTCACATAGCCATCAGCTGGGGGAGAATTTCTGGCAGGCTGTGAACTGAGCTGCCCTCTGCTCCCGCGGCACTTACGGGACAGATGAGCGGCCCACTAATGGAGGTGCCGGAAGGGGCAGTGCGGGAACTGAGACCTGGTGGAAGGCTCCTGCCCTTCCCCCCCTCGCCCCCCCCCCACTCCCCCCAGCCTCCATCCTTCTGGGCTTTGACACTCACTGCTGAAGTTTTCCATACTCCCTTTCAAAATCTCTCTCCACCTGTAACCAAAGAGATAACTCAATCATCGGAGAAATGACAACACGCTGGAAAAAATCTGCCAGCCTACTGAAACTCCCTCTCCACCCTCCCCCCAGCTGCAGAAAACAACACGGTCCAGTTCATACAAGCTCCAGCAGATCGTTAACGACACAGTATCCCTGTGTTCCCAAATTAATTAAGTGTTTGATTTAGGGCACAAGACTCCCCTCCCAGATGGGCCAGCCAGGCAAGTAGCAGCGGATTGTGGCTCTGTTCCTCTACCACAGGGAGCCAGGCGCTGGGCTGCGTTCCCTCTCTCCTCACCCCTCCCATCGTGAGGCAGGTGAGGTGCTCGGAATGTGAATGTGACTGAGACTCGCAGTGGGGGAAGCAGGCGGGTCCCCTCCTACTCCTGGCCCTGGTTTCCTCACAGGGCTTACCAACTGTGAGGTTCAGGGTGGACCAAGAAACGTCCTGTCTGCACGCTCTGTGTGCTGGAATGTACCGAGCGCAAATACTATTGCTACTGACCGGCAAGGCTCTCTTAAAATTCTTGATAAGTAACCAGATTTCCCCGATGCCAGCAAGACTGACATCAGATGGGTGTAAGTCCTGATCCCAATTCTGCCACCTGCATGTCAGGTGAAGCCAAGAAAGTCACTTGCACGTCCAGTGCCTGAATTTCTCCATCCGTCAAACGGGGCCCTGGCAATGGCCTCTCAGGAGAGTGGCCTGTGAGGGATATGACACCTGAGAGCTGAGAGGAGGGGACCGAGGCCTGTCCTGGTTCCCTTCTGCAGAGGCGGCAAGAGCTCCCTGGCCGGCGTGCTGAGCCTCTGGGCTGAGGCGCTCAATTAAGAGCAGCTAACATTCACGGGGTGCTCGCCGCATGCTTCTGTGAACGGCTTCTCCCCCACAACTGCAGAGGCAGGTGTACTTGTGGCCCTCACTGCACCAAGGAGCTCCCTAGGACAGAGGGGACGTATGCTGCACCAGCTCACACGACTAGTGAGTGGCAGGGCTAGGATCTGGACATAGGCAGCCTGGCTCCAAGGCGTGTGCTCTTAACAAGCATTCTACCAAAAAGGGGAAAGCCCCTTTTTGCTTTGAATTAAAAGCGTGATGAATTAAAGCCACGACCCAAGAAAGGTGCCTTCTTGGCTGCTCCCCGAGATGCCTTCCAGTGAGAGCCCTAAATCCTGGTCCTCACTCTCACAGCAGGCTGAAGGTCACGGAGTCCAAAGCTGTGTAAAGTGTCAAGGCCCCATTGTTCTTTGCTAGCGCACCCTTCCGTCACAGTGCCCCATGAAGGAGCATTCTGAAAGCCCACAGACCCCACACTCATGTGCATTTAGGTAAACTCAACACAGTCACAGAACAGCAAAACATTATTCAGGCCGATTATTTCATGTTACAAACACAGAGGATGAAGCCCAGAGACGGGGAGTGATTTATATAAGGACTCAGGGCTAGTCAGAGGCAAACCAAGGCTAGAATTCAGACTCCTAGTTCAGCACCGGCCCCCTTTTTAAAATGACATTCAATAACCTCACAAACATTTATTGAGCACCTATTAAGTGCAACGCAATCTGCCAGGTGAGAGAGATGCTCTGGTGAATAAACAGATGTGGGTCCTGGCAGGGGAGATAAAACAAATACACCTCTAACCTAAACCATGGACAGCCCCGTGGAGGATGGGGGCTAGAGAATGGCATGGAGAGCCTACTTAGCTAAGGTCCCGGGGCACAACCACATGTTGCCCTTGCATGGACACACCTCACGTTCCTCAACTGAAATGTAAAATTTAGAAGCAGGAACACAGGGTCTTTCCTTTTACTTTCTGACCCCAGCACCTGGGGTCTGACACAAAGTCGTGAAGTAAAATTCACCATCGGTTTCCCCCACCCTACAGTCTTTGCCCTCTTTTCAACAGACCCCCTGTTTTTCCATCCAGGAACCCAATGTTTTCATCATCACCTTCCTATGATCCATCAAAAGCTGCTCTTAAGAGGAAGCTCAAACTTCGCTCCCACTAAAGCGTATGTTCCGGAAAAAAGCTTAAAGTGCTACCTGTCCCAGGGGATGTGTAACTGGGCAGGAATCAAAGTCTCAGCCAAAGGCCGGAAGAGCGTCTGGCGCGATGCAGGCAGGAGATTTGCTCTGGGGTAGCGAGACCTCGCCCGGGCCCAGCAAGCCCGCGCTGGGACGGTCCAGCCCTTTCTCCACCAACACCGTCGAGGAAGGTGGGGGACAGGAACGAGCAGAGACGGATGACAGGTGGACTCTGATACCAGCTGTGCAGTATTAAAAACACTGCCTAACATTTTGAGTCTCACGTACTTTTCTAGACGAATGGGATAACTCCATTCGGCCTTCCCCTGGGAAGATTTTCAGTGGCTGCCAAGGAAACGGGGTAGCAGTGTCCGTCTTGTTGGCTTGTTTAGAGGATCACCGAACAGTCTGTGTAGAGCACAGAGCTCGGTGCCTGGCCTGTGGATAGGGTTTCCTTGTTCTTCTCCCATGCACTGGGGTGCTGGGGGTGCCCAGAGAAGTCTGGGGGTGCAGACTGGTCTGTGGCCCTTTGGCAAAGCACGGGGTCAGTTGATAGCTGGGATGAACGCTGATTTGGGCTAAGCCAGGATCCTGTGCCCGGGGGTTACACCTGGGCCTCCCTTAACTGGACATATCACCCCTCTTATTTTGTAGGATGTGACGGCTAAGCAGAGTCTTTACGTATTAAAAGTATTCTTTTCCAAAAAGACGAAGTCAAGGATGTCCTGGTCAGACTCCAGCTTTTCTAAAGATGAAGAACATGCAGCGGGTGCTCCCAGTGGGAGGCGGGCGCAGAGAGCTCCGGCCTTGGCTCCTGGCGCTCTCTTTTGCAATCCCCAAGTGTGCCGGTGCGTGTGTGGGATGTCAGAGAGCACCTGGTCCCCCCGGCTGGGAATGCTTGGACTTGCACGGAGAGCGAGCGACTGCGGGTTTCCAACTGGGCTGGAACATTCTGGTTGGGGAGCCGCTTGAGGTCTTACCCCGGCAGCTGAGAAGTATGTCAGGGTGGAGTTCGATCCTTCTGCTGCTGCTCACGGCCACGTGAGAGCCTGAGATGTTCATGAATGTGTCCCCCTTCTGCCTCTGGCAGCCAGGTGTGGGTTGCTCTCAAGATCGCTCTCCTCCCTTGGGGAAAGATCCGAGGCAACACCACCAGGATTCTGGCCCCTCGGATAATGGATAAGGGAATAAGGAGACACACTGGAGTCCTAGTGCAAGGTATCTCCATTCCGAGGGAAACAGCCAAACACGGAAGATCTGAACATCTCTGAATGCTTGATGCTTTTGCCAAAAAGGCGATTAGCCCCCAGTCAACAATGCAAGTGCAAACACATGTGCACGGCTGTCAGCGGGTCAGGGCGGGCCGGGCCGGGCGGCGAGGTTAGCGAAGGGGGAATGAGCACCAGACGGCCCGCTGCTCTGGGCATTTGCAAAGGCTCAAGGTGGAGGGGTGAGACTGTGCTGCTCAGCGCTCTACCCCCCGCGCCTAGGGTCAGGCTGGCATGGAGCAGGAGTCAGTATTCGTTAAATGAATGAGTGGGCTGAGGTCTCACCCAAACGGACGCTCGGGGTGAAGTGAAGAAGGAGACCGGCAGGCAGGGCTCCGGCTCTAGCCCCGGAGCTAAGCCGTGTCGGATCAGAGCTGAGGCAGAGGGCACACTGGGTGATCTCGGAAGCCCCCTCTTGGAGGGGTGCTAGGGGCGGAAAGCAGCCTCCCTTTGGTGGATCATGTGTTACCACATGATCAAATGAGGCTGAGAGGCTCTCCACTTTGCAATTGGAGACTGTCCTCAAGTGGGGGCTCCGTGTGGCAGGATGCTCCCCTGCCCCGACGCTGTGGCATGTGTGCGAGACCCAGGGTGACCCCTGCTTCCAAGAGCTCTTCCCTCCTCAAAGGTTACGGACGGGGAAGCGGCTGCTTTTTGCCATGCCAAGATGCTCCGGCTACCTTATGGGACTGGTGGGGCAGGAGGGGTGTAAGCAGAGGGTGCGGAGGGTTCGGACTGGGAGGTGGGCGAGCTTTTGTCCCTCCGCCTCCATCCAGTGGCCAGCCCCTGCAGAGAACATGCCATTCCCTCGCCAGAGCCTTGACAACAATGGAATTCGTGTTAATAACCTGGGTGCAGAAGAACAGTGAGAGCAAACACACAATGCTTTCTTTGTGTCTGACAGTTGGGTACCTTGAGCCAAAAACCTCCTGAAACTCCCTGAAGATAACGTGAGCATTTCTTCCCATGACGGGGGCGCCATGACTTCCAGGCAGCAGGCAGCCACATCTGCGCCTCTGACGGTGCCTGGGCAAGAACGGTAGCGCGTCACCACTGTCTGGGGGCAGCTGCCGGAGGCGCTGAGACGGCTGCCTGGGCTCGGCCTATGATGGGGGCCCGGAGGGGCTTGTGCGGCAGAGAACGAGATTGAAGAGGCAGGCTCTCGCTCCCTATACTTCGGTGCCTCTGGGGAGTTGAGGGAGCGAGTAACTCTCTTCCAAAGCCTAAGTCGGCTTTGATTCCTTGTGAGAGATCAAAGGCCCGGCCTACCATTTCCTTGTAGTAGGGGATCCGGCTGCTTGGAACAGGCTGAGTCCTCGGTGGTTTCTAAAGAGTCAAATCAACTATCTTCCCACAAGGTAGTTAATATATATTGAGGGCTCATCATGTGCTAGACACTGTGTTAAGTGGTTCATACACATGACCTCATGTACACAAGACTCATACTATATCAGTGGCATAGGTACTAAGATCCTCACTTACGAAGGAGGAAACCAACGCTCAGAGACAGTAAAGGGCCTTGCTCAAGGTCACATACAGCATGTGGCGGAGCCGGTGGGAATCCAGGCAGGAAACCTACCCCATCTGGCTTCTTAACCACTACTTGGTGCCCAGTCTGACTGGGGGAGCAGATTCCAGAAGTCAGAGGACCGCAGTTCCATCCCAAACAAGACTGACGTGAGGAGGGGAAGAGGGAAGCCACGGGCCCATCTGTGGGCTTGTCTGTAGGGCCGTCCATAGGTGCTGGGATTGTCCATTTGTCCCTCCTCTGGGGAGTCCTTGCCACTCCTCAGATTAAAAGACCCAGAGATCTTTCCGTCAACAAACTGGCAAAGAAGCTAGAAACTGAATTCTAACCTATACTTTTCTGTAGAGAACAACGGCTATCTCTATAGAGGTAAGGGTGTTGGGAGGGTTTTCTGTTTGCCTGTTTGTTTTTTGGTAGTGAGCGCTGGGAATAAAAGACCCTTCTCAAAACCACTTCCCTTTCAGATCTGCCCTGGATTAAACTCTGGAGACACAAAGCCACACCTTCCCACTTCCTGTAGCCGGCTAGAGCCCAACATTTGCACGCCCAGATTCTTTGCGCTTCAGCTGAGAGCCTCCACAGATGGTCAGCCTCTGCATGGGAGGTAAACTCTCAGTCTGTCCTCGGCCTGCCTTCACTTGAAAGAGAAACGCAGCCCATTTCCTTTTAAGTGGCCTGCCTTTGGATTTTCCAAAGACTGAGCCATTGGTCAGATGTGTGCTGAACTTCCCTTCCTGCCAAAATGAAGCAGGAGCTTTCCTGTAGTCCTGAGTTCTGAGCCAAGGAGGGCCGAGGTTATTAAGACAAGGAGAACCGTCAGGGGCTCCAGCAGGCTGACAGTTGCTGGAACTGTCACAATGAGAGATACTGTACAGTTATGGGTTCCCACGGTGAAACCAACAGCCTGATTAGATTTGGGGGTGAGGGAGTTCAAGAGGCCATTCTTTACTAGAATTCCCAAACCTCGGCAGACCTTCACAGCCTGAGTGAGGCAGCATAGAGCAGTGGAATGTGCATTGAACAGAGACTCCGACTTGGGTTCCAATTTCGGCTCTGTCGGTATTAGGGTTTTAAAAAAAAAAAAATTTATTTTTTTTTGTTTTGTCTTAGGAGCACTCATGAGTGGGGGAGGGGAAGAGGGAGAGAGCAGCTCAAGCAGCTCTGCTTGAGAGTTGGATGCTTAACTGATTGAGCCACCCAGCTGCCCTAGTGTTCGGTTTTTTACAACCTTAGAAAGTCATGGTGGCTTCGTGGGCCTTGGTTTTCTCGTAAGGAAAATCAGGTTGGACTAGATGATCTGTAAGGGCTTCCAGCTCTAAACTTTCTAAAAATCTGTGATTCCTCTCCCATTCTGGGGATTAATAGAGATAAAAATTGTGGGTTCTCAAGGAGGTAGGATTCAATCATGCCCTCCTGACTCTGGGTCCTGGCTAAGAATTCCTTTGGCAGTGGAGAGAAAGGGACCTGGAGCCTCCTGGAGAAGCTTCCTGGTCTTCACACAGCCTGAGGTGGCTGGAGATAAAGGCCTGGGACATGTCCTTGGCAGGGGCCTAGGTTTCAGGAGCCCACTCAGGAAAGTGCAGAGTGCCACGCCAGACTGCAGAGATGGGCTGTCACCCACCTGTCACCCACCTCCTCCACCTGCCCCAGGATGGGAACGAGCCAGCCTGATTTGCAGAAGGAAGATGTCCCAGGCCAGGAGGCCTCCGCAAGCCCCAGTCTAAGTGAGGTTCCAGAGCGACACGGCTGGGAATGAGGCAGCCCGGGTTCTGCCCTCCCCAGCCCCACAATGTGCTGAATCAAACCTCTGGTTCTCTGCAAAGACCATGTGAGACAGACAGAGTCTCAGAATGAAAGAATCGGGTTACTCACTGTTTTAGGGACAATCTGTTTCTTGGGCTGCCCAATCTTGAAAGGAATCCTAGGAGAGAAAGAGACAAAGAGGGATTTTAGGAGAAACGGGGAAGGATGTAGCTGAAAAGAACTGATGAAGTCAAGGCCACTTTTCCCTGGAGGGTAACGAGAGCCAGTGGCCTGCTCCTGGCACTCGAACCACACGCCCTGTGGATCTAGGGCCGTCGGCAGCCAGGCTGGGCTCTGGAGGGTGATCTTCCCATGGACAGTGTCGGATGGAAGTCCTGGGCACCACCTTCTGCCCCAGAGCATCTTTCCTACTAGTAGCTGGGTGTTGAAACACGTTGCAAAGGTGAGGGCAGGGAAGGGGAGATACCACACGACAGACAGTCATTGTAAATCTGTGTCCTGAGGAGCTGCAAAGTCAGAATTACAGGTTCGCTGGGGCAGCTATCATCCTTGAAAACAAGCGTTTAAAAACACCATGAGAACCACTTATCGTCTGTATTAGGTGCTTCACTACTTCTCTATAGAGGACTTCTTACGTGGCTGGAGACAGAGGACACACTACAGGGCATTAAGGCCCAGCCAGGCTGGGTTATTTCTGGTGAGAACTGACAACCTGAAACGTGGCTAACTCAAAGAGGGACCTGAATCTAGCCCAGGTCTGCCTTCTGCACCTCAGGTTCTCCACTTGGAAATGGAAGGCAGATTGGCATAACAGAAGGAGGGTCAAGAATCTAGCCTCTAAATCTAGGCCCCCCCTCCACTGGCCCCCACCGCCTCCCGCTCTGAGGAGCGGGCTGCCCCCTGGCAGGTAATGACTGCCCTGGGATTCATTGCCCACTCTGTGAAAGGACAGGGTTAGACTGGATAATTCAGAAGCTTCCTTGAGGCATGAAAAATTCTGATTCTACAATTCTGAGAAGCGTGGTCCCACTAGGAGCAAACACAGTGCATGCCAACTGCTGGAGAAAAAGAGGCTCCCCAGAGCCCCCAAGGTAGCAGTGAGTGAAGCACCCCTGGGATCAGCTCAGGGCACAGGGAGTCAGCAGGAGAGTCCCCAGGGCACGACTCCACTCCCACTCTTCTCTCAGTGCTCAGGACGCTGCAGTCCCTCCCTTTCAAACCTCCCGCTTCCAGCTTCCACCGCTGCACCCGCCCCTTCCCTCCGCACCCCCTTCTGCCCAAGCCTGCTTTCTCTTGGCCCAAACTGACCAACACTGTTGCTAAACCCAATGGTATAATTAACTACCGATAATAACCCCAGACAACGATCCGGTCGAGAGGATGGGCCAGCCTGAGTCACAGTGGTTTAAATTTAATTTCTGGAGGACATCCTGTTTATTGTTAACCCAGCCCGGTAATTTGGGAGCGTTAACCCTTTGGGGGCTGGCTGATTCACGTGGCTTCTGTAAACAAATAATCAGTGGCTATATAATTACCAGGGGAAAGGTAAGCTCTGGAACTGAAAAGAAGAGGAAGGGAGAAATTGCTCTTTCCCCTCCTCAAATCTAAAGAACAGAGGTTAAGGGAGCTGAGCTCCATAGTCCCCTCCTCGTGTCCCCAGTTACTTTTCCCCAAATCAGGGATTGGAGTTGACTGACACAATGGTTTTGGACAGTGAACAACTGCCCTCAAGGACTATTTTGGTGACAGTGCAAATGAGGTCCTGGTGGCATTGAGAGAAGATTGAGCCTGCACGAAGCATGTTGTGGGATAATAAGCTTTGGACCAGGAATCAGAAAACTGATCTCTGCCTTTGACTAGTTTTGTGATGCGAACAAATCACGGTCTCTCTGGAGCTTTTTCTTTCTCTTTCTTTCTTTCTTTTTTTCTTTCTTTCTTTTTTAAATTCTTTTAATGCTTATTTTTGAGAGAGAGAGAGAGAGAGAGAGAGGGAGGGAGAGACAGAGACGAACGTGAGCAGGGAGGGGCAGAGAGAGAGAGGGAGACACAGAATCCCGAGCAGGCTCCAGGCTCTGAGCTGTCAGCACAGAGCCCAATGTGGGGCTTGAACTCATGAACTGTGAGATCGTGACCTGAGCCAAAGTCAGCACTTAACTGAGTGAGCCGCCCAGGCGCCCCTGGAGCTATTTCTTAAACTCTAAAACAGAGGAGATGGAAACTTGAATTCTAAACTGAATCTCTGTTCCAGGAACATGGGGGCAGGGTGAAATTCTACAGAATTCTGAGTGGTCTTCACAATGATTCTAACTTGGAGTCTAGTACTACAGACTAGCTATAAAGAAATGAAGAACTTAGATGCCATTATTTGTGGTGCCACAGCCTCTCTAAATCTTAATTTGGAATCACAGTATTTTTAGAATTGCAAGTTACCATAGAAATTGTTCCAGTTCAACCCTCTCATTTTGTAGATGAGAAAACCAATCTGGAAAGGTCCAGTGACTAGCCCAGGGTCATTCTGCTGGTTCACGACTGAACCAGGAGTAAACAATCCACTTTTCTCTCAGCTATTCTTTGCCATGAATTTGTTATGTTTATTTGAAGGAACTAAGGAAAATCATCTGATCAAAATACCTAACCTTAAAATACTGTGGAATTTCAAAGGGGCTCACTATTCTTGAAAAGACTGGAAATGCAAGGAATGAGGAGGGCAGCATTATCGGGAGGAAGGAGGCTTGTGCTGACCCGGCTCCGTCTGAACAAATGATAGGTTCCAGGTATCATGTTGGCTGAGTGCAAAACGTCACTGATAATGTCTTTGAGACAACAGGTAAAGAACCTGGAGTGTCCAGGGCAACTGGGACACATGGCCATTACACCCACATGGAATGCCTTCCCTTCTCCCAGCTTGATCAAAGCTGTTCTCAAGTCCAAAACCTTGCTTACCTTCTTCTAAATGTCTAAGACTTCATTTGGCATTAAAAAATAGCCTACCTTGGGGCGCCTGGGTGGCGCAGTCGGTTAAGCGTCCGACTTCAGCCAGGTCACGATCTCGGGTTCCGTGAGTTCGAGCCCCGCGTCGGGCTCTGGGCTGATGGCTCAGAGCCTGGAGCCTGCTTCCGATTCTGTGTCTCCCTCTCTCTCTGCCCCTCCCCCGTTCATGCTCTGTCTCTCTCTGTCCCAAAAATAAACATTGAAAAAAAAAATTAAAAAAAAAAATAGCCTACCTTTTATATTAATTGAAGTTTACCCATTTAAAAAGTAAAACATACTCATCAGAGAAAACTTGGGAAATACAGCAAAGTCAGAGACAGAGAGAGAGAGAAAGAGAGGGAGAAAGGGAAGGAAAAGAAGGAAAAAACCAAAACAGTGCACGGTCTCATATCTAAAGATAACCAAGGCTAATGTTTTGGTGTTAATTATATTTTAAAAGTTTGCAGAAAGAAAAAAATCTGAAGCAAATATGCCAAATGTTAATAGTGGTTAATTCTGGGTGGTAAGAGTGTGACTACGGTTTTCTTCTTTGCACTTTCCATATTTTTCAAATAAACTAAAAAAAAATCCCTTGTTTTTTTCCTTGACTACAAAAATAACACCTGATCACTGTCAAACACTTGGAAAACATGGAAACACACACACACACACACACACACACACACACACACACAAACAGTAACACCCTGAATCTGTGTGTAAATACATGGACATGTGTACATATGCATATTTATATAACTTAAAAAACCTAAACATATCATAAAGGCTTCTATATGCCAAGATGTGGTTGTCATCAGCCTGCCCTGTTAAGAGCTACCTAGTATTTCATTATATATCCCTATTTTATTTTTGTGATCCACATCACTTACTAATGATCATTTCAACTGTTTCCAATTTTTCTTCTATTATTAAAAACACTAATAGCTAAATCTTTGTGTACATCAGGGATTAGTCACATAGGATAAATTCTTAGAATTGGAATTGCTGGGTCAAAGGATATATACATGTCTAAGGCTTTGATACATTTGCCAAATTGCCCTGGAGGCAGATTGAGACAGTTTACATTTTTTAAAAGATTGAAATGGTTTACATTTTACCACTAGCCCTTTGGCCTGTTTATCAGGATTTTTTTTCTGGCTTAGCATTTGCCTTTCCCTTTTGTGCAATTAATCTGAGTTTGCTTTTATCAAAGTTACACGTGTGCATGGTTTAATAAGACAACAAGGTTTGTTAAGTGAAACATGAGGTCCTATCCTCCCTCCCCCTGCCCTAATCTCACTTGCCCAAGACAAGCACTTTTCGATTCTGCTGGGTTTTTTGGCACATACCTTTGCATCTCTAAATAAAAATGCGTCTATTTCTATCTCTGGTTAGGTTTTAGGCACTAGCTGCTGACTTTTTCTTTCGCAAGGGGAAGATTTAATGAAACCAACCAACTGACCAAGCTCTTGCAGGCTTCTTTCTACCCGTTACACAAATGCACATCCAAATCTCCTCTTCTTCTCGATACAGTTACGTGATTTGGTCAGATCAATAAGTAAACTGTTGGGAGAATAATGTGATTTCTTGTCCTTCCTGCATGTGGCAGCCAGCAGATTTTTCAGCCTCAGCCAAACCTTCAGAAGCTGCAGAGTTCCGAGCCAAGCCTCCCAGCTAGGCCACTCCCAAATTCCTGACCTGCAGAAACTGGTACTGTTGTTTGGAGACGCTAAGTTGTGGGGGAATTTGTTACACAGCAATACGTAACTAATAACACTGCATGCTTTTGCTCCTAAAATTGTCATTTTTCTTTCACGTGCTGAATTTTCTATGTATTTATTGTCTAAATTTACTCTTTTTTTTTTATTTTTTTTTTTAATTTTTTTTTTTTCCAACGTTTATTTATTTTTGGGACAGAGAGAGACAGAGCATGAACGGGGGAGGGGCAGAGAGAGAGGGGGACACAGAATCAGAAACAGGCTCCAGGCTCTGAGCCATCAGCCCAGAGCCTGATGCGAGCCTGACGCGGGGCTCGAACTCACGGACCGCGAGATCGCGACCTGGCTGAAGTCGGACGCTTAACCGACTGCGCCACCCAGGTGCCCCTAAATTTACTCTTAATACATTCACTCGTGTCAGGTATTCACTTCTTGAAGCAGTGTCTGAGGCAGCCTCCAAGCTGCTCGG